TGTCTAGTAGTTTTCTCTTCCCATACCTTACAACATTTTATGGTGTTTCTAGCATAATGTTTTAAATTAAAAAATGAAATAAAAATGAAATTCAACAATTTTTATTTGGAAATAGAAGTTTCCGCAATTTCCCACTGTCTGTGTTTGAGTTAGGGCCTCTTGTAGCCCAGGCTGTCCTTGAGCTGACTACATAGCTAATCTTCCTGTCTTTACTTCCTGAATCCAGGGATTACAGGCATGAACCACTAGTCCTGGCTCGCTGTTGGTTTTTATTAATATAAGAGCTATAAAGGAACAAACAGCATGGGGTGTTTTTTGTTTGTTTGTTTGGTTGGTTGGTTTTTCGAGATGGGGTTTCTCTGTTTTAAGCAAAGCGGGTGGGTTGCTTTCCTTTTAGGCAACAGACAGTTGCCTTTTAGGCAACAGACAGTTAGGCTCTGGTGAACAGGTGTGTTGGTTAAAGAAATACAAGTTTTTCACTACAGATGTTCTTTTATATATTCCTAGAAAATCATTAAGCCATCAGTAAAGGACGAGCTGAGTGAAGCCAGAGCAGAAGGGAAAACAGCAGGAAAACTGTGAGAACATGGGTCTGCCCCTTTAGACCAGATTCGATGGCCTGGAGAGTCAGGCCAACGCCTCCCTGCAGCTCTGTCTGGAAGAGTTAAGAACCAGTTTGTGCAATATGACTTGGCAGGTTTCAATTTATGGTATCTGACTCTTCTGTGCTCTTATTCACATGTGCTATATTGAATTAAATCATACCATGATGTAAAGCTTCCTGGAAGCACCCTCTCACCCCAACTCATAAAAGTGATATTTATCTTGTTGCTCCCTGTAGAGGCGCCTCTGGCTACCTCTATCATCCTCTCCTCTCTCTGAATGTCCCCTCCCCTCCTCTCTCTGAATGAAGCTCCTCTCTAGATTTTTTGTTTGTTTGGTTGGTTTTTCAGATGGGGGTTTCACTGTGTAGCCCTGGCTATCCTGGAACTTGCTCTGTAGACCAGGCTGGCCTCTGAGAACCACCTGCCTCTGCCACTGTCAGCTACTCTCCAGGTTTTAAATGGAAGCTTTTCCCTCCTTTGTATGATGCTATCACACATATCCCCATATATTGTATTGTTTCCGTCTAGTGCTCTTCCTGCCTTCTTGATGCCTGATCTCATGGCCTGGAGGTCATTTCTCTAAACAAAACACATCTCCTATGTGTCAGCTGCTTTTCCAGCTCAACCGCTGCTTCTCTTCCTCTTTATTCAACAAAAACTACTGATGGAATTCAAATGTGAACCAAAGAAGGCCTAAACTGTGGCAATAGCTATGAGGATGGGGAGAACATTAGAGAAGGCACCTAAGGGGTACTCTGGGAAGGTATTCTAGGTACTAATTGGGAAGGCTTTCTCGATACCCACATGTATCTGTTCCGTGTAAATTACCCCCTGGGCGTGTTTGTGAGTGCTGTTTCATGGGGAGGGGATGGTGACTGCTTCAATCCTAACTCCATCCACAGCACCAAACCAATCACCTAGCAGTTGTCATCATCTCAGTGACCACCCCACTGAATGGACGAATGATGAATGGGGACTCGTAGTGTATTGCTGAAATTACCTAGCAGTATCTATTCCCTATGAGAAAGTGACTGGGTTTAAGAGAATGAGACTGTGGGAATGGCTTACTGTGACCTTGAGACACCCCATAGGCTTTCAGTGGAAAATTACAGACATGTGTTAATTAGGCTTCAAACTCATTCAATTAGGTCACTAAGATTGATGCAGCCCAAATATACATTCAGACAACAATGGCCAGGGGGATGTGGGCTCTTTTTAAAACCTTCTCAAGACAGAAGAGAAGGGCTTGAAATGACCCCATCTAAATTTCATGGAATAAAAATGGGTAGAAAGTGATGTGAGTCAGGCAAAAGTGTGCCTCTTCCCATGTGTGAGAGATTTACTAGGAGATGACGAGGATGGACTAAATGAGCTCTCAGGCCTCCCAGTTTTCACAGAACATTGCCCAGGGGGAATCAGCTTTCAATTGTCTGCATGAACAGCCAAGTCAGTTATAGAGGAAGGGCTTTCGGATGCTGAGGTTTGTGTAGAGAAACACTTCATAATGCGTAGGCCAATCAATCAATGGTCAAGTGTGCAAAGGCTGCCTGTTTGCCTCCAGTTTCATTAAAGGACCAGACTCTTTGGGAAAGGACACAACTGTAATTCCTAAAGTCAAACACATTGTTTTGTTCTTCCTCCATGGAAATAGGTCATTTGACTTTTCTGTTTGTTTTTGTTTTATATTTTGAGTCAGGGTCCCATGAGCCCCAGCTGGCCTCAATTCACTGGGCAGCCAAGGTTGATTCTCCTGCCTCCACCTCCAAGTGCTGGGGTTACAGGTGTATGCCACCATGCCCATCAGGAAACCACACCAGTTCTTCCTAAGACTACCTTAGTGTTCCTACCAGATTGAGAGAGAGAGAGAGATGGTGTCCTGCGGAAGACCCAGAACATGTTCTGATGGCCTCAGTCTGTCCCTAAACTCTGGGAGAGCCCGGCTGCTCTCAAAGGCGCTGACATTTTTGGGGTGGATGTAAGGTTTCTGAAGCTGAATGCAGACCTCTCAAATGTGCTTTCCTGAAGAGAGATAGAGGCAGTTCAAAGTCCAGTTTGATATTAGTAAGTTTGTTCTTATCCTCAAGGGGAAGGGCGGGTGAGCAGGTGTGGCAGGGAAGGCAAACAGGCAGGTTGTTTCCTTTGTCAGGAACACTTTTTTTTATCTGCCTGACTGGGAAATGGGCAGGGAAAGAACAATTAGTTTAAAGTTGTTAGGAATTGCTTAGGATGAACATCAACTACCCTGTTATATTCTCTATTGCTGTTGGCGGTGGTGGTGTGTGTGCTTGTGTGTGTGTGTGTGTGTGTGTGTGTGTGTGTGTGTATGCAGGTCAGAAGACAACCCTGGGTACAGGCCTTTGCTTTTCACCTTATTTGAAATGGATCTTTTGTTCTTCACTTCATATGTACATCAGGCCAGCTGACCTGTAAGACTCCCCGGATTCCTCTGTCTGCCATCTTGAATCATGCTACTCTATTTGACTCTACATAAATCCTGTAATCCTACATAGCAATCTGAACTTTGCATACTTGAGTAGCAGACCCTTATCCACCAAGCCATCTAGTCCCTGCCCCACTAACTTCTTGAAAAAAGTTAGGAAAAAATGAACACATGTGCTTTTCTTTTTTGTTCAAATGAACCATTTCACTAGCCTTGAATTGTTATAGTCCATATAAGAATTTGTTGCACTCAACTTTATAGTTTTAAGCTTTATGCACACCTTCTACCTGTACTCTTCCTTGACTGAACTAGTATTGCAAGAATTTTGAGTGTTCAGAAAAATGAGCATAAGTAAATTTGAGGCAAAATCAGAAATATTTGCACAGTTTTAAACAATTCAACCATTTGTCTCTTTATTCTTCAACACAACTCTTTCCTGAAGTAGTGGTCATTTATAGTCACATATAAAAGTTATGGGATGTGGAATACAAGACTTACTCAAAACGAAGTTGTTCTGACTGGGAAGGGAGCTGAAGCTCAGCCACCTTTGAGAACCATAAGTGCTGGTAAGGTACCACACAGAGATGTAGTTGAAATTCTCTCTGGACTCTGCAAGGTGGGCCTGTGCTTGTTCATGTCCGGTATATACATCCACAAGTTCAGTGATGGCAGGGCAAGGGAGAAAGGTTTGTTTATCTTCCATGTCAGTGAAGTTTGGTAGAAACAGATGGGTGTCTCTCTGAAGTTCAGCATTCTGTTGCCCTGGGAAAAAAACCACTATGACCAAGGCAACTTTTTGAAGGAAGAGTTTATATGGGCTTAGAGTTCCAGAGGAAGAAGAGCTCATCATGACACCAAGTAATAGATGTGGCAGCAAGAGTGAAAGCTGAGAGCTCACATCTTCCAGCACAAGTGTGAATCAGAGAGAAAGCTGGAAATGGCAAGACCCTTTACATTCTCAAAGCCACCTTCAGTGACAAATTTCTCCAACAAACCACACCTCCTAAACCTCCTCGAGAGTGTCACCAACTGGAAAGCAAATGCTCAAACACATGAGTCTATGGGGGACATTCTCATCCAAACCAAAACACCATGTATACAAGGACTTGGAGAATATGAATTAAGAAGCATTTTCATGACTGATGGAAATGTAATTCTATTATGAGCATCTACCTCTGCTAGCCAGCTGTAACATACACTATGTATTATGTAATGTCATGAAATTCTTAAATATTACAAACACCCATGGATACTCTATTTTTATTTATTTATTTATTTTTGGTTTTTTGAGACAGGGTTTCTCTGTGGCTTTGGAGGCTGTCTTGGAACTAGCTCTTGTAGACCAGGCTGGTCTCGAACTCACAGAGATCCTCTGCCTCTGCCTCCTAAGTGCTGAGATTAAAGGTGTGCACCACCAACGCCCAGCATTTTGGCCCATGGATACTCTAAACACATTAACTGTCACACAGTGCAGCACATGGCTTGTGCCTAATGAATATTTACCAAATAAATGAATGAGCATTGCTATTAATTTTGTACTTCATGAGGTACTAGTTAAGTGATTCAATTTCTTCAGGGATTCAGATAATGCAAAAGGTTTTGAATTATAAGGTGATGACTAAGATTACATGAGTGTGTCTATAACTGTTGGGTAAAAATGATAATGACTGACCAAGTCTAGCAAGCAGTGTTCCCTTCAACCCACATCTACTTGAGTTGGCACAAATTCTGTTCCAGGAATCTAGACCAATTTGGCTTGGTCTCAGCTGTGGTATCTGCCACTCATCACAACATTTCATTGTCCACAAGGTGGCTATCCCCTAACTTGGGCTTTGCAGATGGGGGCTTGGGTCTCAGCTAACCTCCTTCTCTGGCTGTCAGACCTCCAGTTCCCCCACAGACTCAGAGCATATGTCAGGGAAGAGGACAGAAGGATATGCCCTCTAGTAAGTCTGCTAATTCTCCTTGGTGGAGACACTCTTCTCAAGCAGCTGGCCAGCACAGGAGGAGGTCTGGCTGGCCTCCATCACACCCGTTCCCATGGTCCTTCCTCCGAAAGAGGCCTGGGACCCTTCAATATCAACAAGTACTTGTTGGATTAAAGTGAACAAGATGACAGACCTATAAACTATTGGATGGCACAGAAAATGGCAGAATAAATGCAGACGGCTCCTTGGCAAGGGTGAAAAATGTTTTAATGTGTATAAGCCAGTTAGGTGCCAGGCACATGGTGTGTAACTAAACAAATACAGCAATTTCTGCCCTCAGAGGACACGGTGTCACATTCATCTCATTCACCAGAGTCACAGCGTCAGAAAAAAAATCCCATATAGGAGTCTAAAGGTTGACATTAGAAACCATGCATGGCTTATCCTCCAGTAACTCTCTCACCCAGGACTGAATTTCCTTGCCTGACTCTTTCATTATTTTCATGTTGAAATATTATTTTGTGTAAATTGTTATTTGAACTTCTTGTTTCGAAATGGGGTGTCTTTCTATTGTTGCCCAAGCCATCCTCTCACCCCAGCCTTCTGAGTAGCTGGGGTACGGGCATGCCATTGTGCCTGGTTAGATATTACATTAGGTACCCGTCTCATGCTCATCTTCCTTTACGTCTTTCTCACCAAGGGTTGTCAGATGGTCAAACAAAACTTCCGGGTTAAAAGCAAGCAAGTTTCATATGCATGAGGCAGTAGGCCAGAGCCATCCTTTCTCTGCTTTAGTTACAGAGATGAAATGAGGAACTATAAATTAGAAGGGAGCTTTTTGGCCACACATGTGCTCTAGGCAAGAACTGTAATTAAAGTAGACAAAGCTAAAGGCAGCTGAGGAGTCCTTTAGTTTCAAAACACAGGGAAGTCCGCCAGCCATCGAGCCCTGTCCATACACAATGAGGTTGAATCAGAATTTTGGTCCCTTGTGATTTTTTTCAAGTTTATTTTATTGTGGTAAGAACATTTAACAAGAGGTATGTCCCTGTAATAGGTTTTTAAGTATATGAGACAGTAATACTGTCTGTAGCTATACATGGCTCCACAAAACTAACTCACTCTGCATCTGCAAGTTTTTAACTTTGTTGGTGGTGGTGATGGTGTGTGTCTGTGGTCTGTGCATGTGTGTGTGTGCAGGTACACTTATGTGAGTGTGCAGAGGCCAGAGGTACATATCAAGTGTCTTCCTGGGTCACTCTCCACCTTGTTTTTTGAGACAGTCTCTCACTGAACCTAGAACTCATAGGTTAGCTAGACCAGCTAGCTAGCACTTTCCCAGAATCCTCCTGTCTCCATTAGTGTTGTAGACATATACTGGAGCACCCAGTTCTTATGTGGGCACCTATAATTTGAACTCAGAGCCTTGTGCTTACAAAGTAAACAGTTTACTGTCTGAGTCATATCCCTAGTTCCTGAACCATTGATTAGCTATGCTCCCTCCCCACCCCCACCTTTAGCACCCAGTAGCACCTCTATTCTCTTCTTCTGTGTTTGACCATTTAAATTCTTAGTAGAACTAGAATCCTGACAAACAGGTCACTGTGAATGGGCTTGTTTCATGTTCCATTATACCCACTAGGTTTATTCATTTGACCTCCAATTCCCTGTGTGTGTGTGTGTGTGTGTGTGTGTGTGTGTGTGTGTCAGCCTGCAGCATTCTGAGAACTAAGAAGTTGGGGGTTGTGATGACCAGTGTTTCCTTGGAACCTAATTACTTTGTCTTCACTCAAAGTCCTTCTGGCTTACTCCTTTCAAAGTATGAACTCCTGAAGAAAACTGAAGTAATTCCCCTAAATGGATAGGAAATTAAAATGTCAGATTAGAAACATTGGTAGGAGGCCCTACAGGACATGGTTACACAAGGCAAAGCCATATCATGACATACTATATAATATGGAAAATTTGCAACATGTAAAATCACAATTAAGGTAAGTATATTTCACCTAGGAAAATGGTCATAATGTATGGCTGTGTGGGGAAAAATGTGTGAGCTACAAAGTGTAAAGTATATTTTTAGGAACACAAAGTCCTAAACCTCTTCATAACTTCCATCTCTAAAATCATTCCAGCTGTGAAATGCAGGCGGTGACATCCTGAACCAGAATGCAGAGAATGCAGAGTTTGGGTTTTATGACTTTACTCCTAATCTTTATTCTGTGTGACTTTTGGGTGCTCTGGCTAAATTGGGATATGGGTGTTAAGCCCTTAGGGGGGGAGATGTATCCTGGCACTGAGGTAATATTCTGATAGGAACTGAGAAGGCTCAGTGGAACCAGGAAGGATAGAACACCACCAGTCAGAGGACAATTTTCAGAGTACATTCTTACCTTCTGCCTTGCTTTGAGGCAGGGTCTCTCTCTCTCTCTCTCTCTCTCTCTCTCTCTCTCTCTCTCTCTCTCTCTCTTTTTTTATTTTTTTTTTTTTTTTTTTTTTCTCTTA